ACCGGGTAGACAAATGACCATCTTGGCTCGCAAGGAACTGGTGAGCGATCTTTGCGGTTTTCGTGGCGAGAGCTTCGCAAGCATCCCGCGCACTCAATTCTTCCCACCTTTCGCATCTTTGCCATTTAGCAACCCCGTGAGGAGGTAACCAAAGAAGTGGTCGGAGTCTAAGGTTTCACCCATGGCACTTCAAGGCGAACTGTGTATCCATCCATCAAACCTCGAGGAGGAGTGTCTGTGACAGCGGCAACCGATGGCTCAAACGCACCAACGTGAACCCGGAATAGCCACCTCGCAAACTTGCTCAAGCTAGAAGGCGAAACGAGGACGCGCGAAAGGACAGAGCTGTTTTAAGTCACACGGATGTCCGGCTGTAGCACTCCTGGCCAGGCGGGCCTGAACCTCACACAGAGATCAGTAGCTACTTGCGGCAATCTGGTTCCACTGAAACGTGTTTTCAGAGGACAGAAAGCCTTGAGCACCTCTACAGCGCTACATTGCCAGAGCCAGAATACTACAGTGTGCAAAGCATCACAAGTGGCTATACCACAGGTGCGCTTGTCAGTAGCGGGGCCTTCGACGCCACCACGCGACTAGCGTGAAAATGGCGAGGGAGCCATCGAGAGCCCAGGTTACTGAAGAAAAGGCATTTTTGAATGAATTAAGGCCAACGATCGAGTCTTCATCAAGACCCTTCGGTGCAAAGGTGCTTTGTGTGTGAAGCCTAGCAGAGTGCCCACTTACGTCAGACACATTGGCGGCGTGCAGACCACTCAAGCCCTCAGCCCCACAGTGACAACTGCAAGGCATGCAACGACCGTTAAGATGTAACCTGGACGTGTATCCCCTCGCTAGGCGTACAGGAACACAGGCACTCAGGTGTCTCTTTTGCTACAGGCGCACAGCTACGTGAAACAGACAGGCACCTGGATGTGTAACATTCAGTGTTTCACCCCCTCCCCCCATCCCCCCCCCTCCCCCCCCTCCTCCCCCCCCTCGCCCCCCGCTCCACCCCCCCTTGCCCCCGTTTGCACTTGGTATCAACAACCGTGTGAAGCGTGCCGCTACACAGCCGAGGCGGGCCGCAGCGTTAAAATTAAAACTGGCCGTGTAGGGCCATAGATTATGCCATTCCCCCCCGCAGCCCTACACCAGCCAGCCAGCTTCTCCACCTCAAGCAGTGCCTCAACTCCACAACTTCAAGCTTTGACATACCCAGCTTTCATCGCAGCCCTGCTCTGCTGCACGCTCCAATCTGCCGGAAAGGCTCTGAACCCTGCCCTGAACTGCCTTCAACATTGCCTTCCTCCCACCCCCCCTAGCCCAGGCCACTCCCAGCTGAGACGTGGCCTGTCGGAGTCGCCTGCCGCCCTGCTCCGAGATCCAGAGTCGTGAGCCCCGCAGCTCTAGATAGGAGATAGGCAGGCCTCCGTGAAAGCTGGCCCAGGGCATCAGGCAAATGTAACTAAAGCGAACCGTGGTTGAGAACTTCAGGGTGTAGCTCCTTGCATAACGGCTGCAAGGGTGCATTGCACCGTCCAGCTGCTCCAATCCCTTCAAGCCTGTAAGCCTGTATCCTTCCAGCCTGTTCACTTGCACCAGCGTACTGTGACCAAAGTCCCCGGTGCTGGCGGCTGTCCTTTGATCGGGGAATTTTGGAATTGTCTGTGTCTGGCGGCTTGAGGCGAGAATGCGTGACCTTCCTTATCAGCCGCCAATCAGTGCTTTGTGGGACCAAGTCAATGCACCGCTAGGTTGGCAAGTTGCAGCCGTCGACTCGACTGTAAGCTGTAAGACTGTAGGCCATACCACGGTAGAGCTTAGAGCTGTTCTACGTAATCGCCTCCGAGACGCCCGCTGCCAATCAGCGTCGTGATCTCGTTGGAGATGAGGTCCACGCGCCTCCAGTAAGCCCTATACTATCATTCCTTCGGTACCCCACCTTCTTGCGCTTCATTGATGTCGAAGACTTCGGAACTACTCCAGGCTGCCAAGCTTAGACGCAAACATCTGTTGGCTGTGTGCCGCGGACCTCACTCGCTGGTTCAGGGTGTCTGCGATGTAAAGACAATCCAGATGACGCCCGATCCTGGAATGGACGAAGCCCCACCAGTCCCAAGAAACGGCTCGTAGTCCTTCAAATTCTACTCTGAAAGTTGACAAGCTACGCGGAAGGGTAGTTCAACGAAGCAGAGAGCGCATCACCACCGTCTCCGGAAAAAGCCACCGCACCATCGCCAGCCACGCTGGAGATAAGCCCGGTTGGGAGGTCCACCACCCTTCCAGGCGGCTTACGCTCTCGACAATGGAGAAAAGAAATTCGCTAGGCCCAGGAAGAACATGCAAATCAAGGTGCTTAGGACTGGGGCTCTCGAAATGAAGCTGTACACAAGTTTGGTCTGAGCTACGCCTCTGAACTCTGCCCCGCCACACCGCACAACCCTCAGGCACCCAAAGTGTGACCAACAAAGCTTGCCTTACTCGGTGATCACCATCTTCAATCTCCGAGTCGTACAGAAGCGAACCAAAAAGCAAGAGGCCTCACGACACGTAAAGCGGAGCCTTCGGCCCCAACACAGCATCACAGACATCAAAGCTGCAGCTCAGCGCCCTTGCCAAAACCGAAAGACTTAGCGAGCTGGATCGAAGGCATCCTGCCTCTGGGGTTGGCCAGGCGCGCGAGAGTAGCCAGCCCTCCGTCCCCTTGGAGAACGCCCGAGTTGAAGCCCGTGGCTCCCGCACCCGTATGCAAGAATGAAGATATCTCAAGCGTCCATTGGATGCAAAACTCTTCAACTGCCGAATAACTGATGATGTTGTTGGCCATCTACCGCCATGCGAGTGTCTAGACTGCCCGAACTAGGTGTATTTCTGTTCTTCGCGACTGGCCTGATCCTGCAACTGTGGACAGCGTGTTCGTCTGGACATCCAACAGCCGGATCCTTCTACAGCGGCTACGAGTATAGTATTCTTTGCTTGGCGGACTCGTCTACCGTTCTCTTCGCAAGGGCACCGGTTGTTGACCGAGTCTGTGAAGTACACCTGGCCTAGCTGGTTCACCTCCACCGCATGGGGCGCGTCTAGTGTCCGAGACAATGCCACACCTGCTGCGTCGTCTCCAGTAGTGAAGCCTCTGGTCCCGGTGCCTGCCACCGTTGTCACTGCCCCAGTGGCCATGTCCAACTGGCGGATAAGGTGGTTCGCAGAATCTGCAACAAAGAGCCGATCTTGCCAGATGCCTAAGCCGGCAGGCTGTCCACGGCACCGGCTGTGTCCCGGACTCCGGCCAAATCCCGCACTGATGCAAACTTGCACGCAGCCGGACCGGATACGAAAGCGGGATTGTCGTCTGTTTGTATGAAGCCCCCAGCCCCAGAAGATGTGCTCTCCAACAGGGTGCATGTGCCAAAGTCCGTGCTGCTGCCGGTGATGTCAATCATGAAGTTGAAGTGCTCACAGCCAGCCGCGGATTGGCATACATCTTGGCACTCGCGAGCAGATCTTGACGAGAGCCCCGACAACGCCTGCCCGCTGGTGATGTAGGCAGAAGCGAGCTCCCAAGTCAATGCCTGCGGTCAGATGAGTTGGCCGAGACTCAGTGGTAGACTCCCCGACTGACTGTGTAGATTCCAAGCCACACTGCCTCGGATCACCTGTCGGCTCCGCTCAGCCTGGCACGGATGCGCTCCCACAAGCCGAGCCCAACCCAACAATTATTGATGCCTGGTAGAGGGGTGCGCCAGCTGGGCGGCTGCCCTGTGCCAGGCCGCTTGGCTCATCCACTCATCCACCGGTATCTCCTCACGGCTTCCAAGGCTCAAGGCCTGGCCTTCCACTTGGGGTCGGTCCTCTGGCTCGAGCTTCAGGCATCGCTCCAGTCCAGGCCATGAACTCCGGGACGGCAAACTACAGCAGAGCGGCTGGCCGCTAGCCGCTAGCCAAATCCACGGCGGAATCCACTCGAATGGAATCCCAGCGGCCAAGCCCGCGGTACCGGTCCCGGTTTCGGAGCCCCAAGCTCTCAAGCAGCTCCGGCATCCGAGGTGCCTCGCCCAATCGGGCTGTACGAGAAGTGACAGGAGCTTGGCCCGCTTGGCCCTGAGACATGCAAACCAGACGTGCATCCGAGTACGGCTTCCTCTAGACGTTCGGGCTTCTTGTTTCTCCCCTCGAAACATGCCGGGTGCAGTTTGCTCTCGCAAGTTTTTCCGGCCTGCCAGGGACCGGAGGACGAGTCTGCAGCATCATCGCAGTGGCAGATAGCCCCAGCATCCCTCGGACAAGGCACGGAACTATCTTGCTCGAACGATGTACCACGTATGCCCGCCCACTCATGGAAGCCAGGCTGCAATCATCTAGCCAACAAGACACTCCCCTGCTGGACCCTGATACTAGCATGCAACTGCTTGGCTGGCAAGGCCTGGAAGCTGAGGCAGTCCTCCGCCATATGGAAGCAGCACGGATGTAGCACAAGCATTCCGAAAACTATCGAAGAGCTGCACTCCGTGAGCCCTCGCCACCTCGGCCGCTCCGCATAGCTCCGGCCCCACATCCCAGTCACAGTGATGCCGACAACTTGCCTCCCCCAACGATGACGGTACAAGTTTACGCTCTCACTCCGCTCTTCGAGTGTTTCGTTAGGTATAGCCATTGAAGTTTGGAGATTGATTGTCAACAACGGGATTCTGACATGCAGTGACTTGAGCCTAGCAACACGTTCCGCAGGATCTGGCTCGGCATGCCATACCAACACTGGGTGCTGGAGCTGTTGGCACAGTCGCCGCTCCCAACGTGCAGAAAGCCACAGTCGGACTTCATGCACCTTACGTTTTTCAGTTTTGCAATGGGGTTGCACCTGCAGATAGCTTCTCAACCTTGAATCACGCCTACAATCCTTTTTCTGGGATGGGCGGGAGAGACAGGCACGGACGCAGACACCAAGCAAAGGACAACCGAACAGCCACGAGACTGAAGATTGAAGAGGCTGCACTCAGTGTACCTCATGTAGAGCTGCCGTACCTGTCAAGGGCTGAAACACGCCCATGAAGGACCTTTGCTCTTCTTTAGTACTCGAGGCCCCTAACCTTTGCCCTCGACCTTTCAAGCCAAGCGGTGAGGCCCTAGACAGCACCTCCGATGTGACCAGGGCCCGGGGATAGACCTGCACCTCGTCCAAAAGTCCCCTGAAGTACACCTGGGATCAGGGGCCGGTACACCAGAAAGCGGCGAGCCGACATGGTGCGACCCTGCGAAGGCGCCGTCAAAGAAAGTACCAACCAGGGCTTTTTTCTACATGACTGCATGGAATCAGAAACGTCCGGAAAAGCCCTTGTCTAACGGCGGTGGATGCTGGTGACATATTAATCAGCATGACGCACCGGGGTTTCGTCAACCTCCGCCTTCCATCTGACGAAACTGCCGCAGAAACTGGCCAAGCCCAACGAGGAAGAGTATCCCTTCTGCCTGGTTGTGGTTGTCGACGAAAGCACCGACGGAAAGCACAGAGTCCAAGTATCCTGATAACAAGACTTGCGGATCAACTCCTGGGCATCCGTTCTCTCCAGGGTACCGATGAACATCTAGCTCAACGTGCTTTAGGCGCGCGCCCAAGACCTAGGACCGGAGTTTGCAAAAACAAAACATCTGCCAAAACGAAGGTGGACACTTTGAGCTTCCGGCATAAACCCATCGGCCGAGCATCGAATCCGACCGTGCGTGTGGTTGGCATCTTGGAGGACATTTGAGTATAGCCTCTAGTCTAAGCGTCTGCCGTACTTGCTGCAAGTTGCCAAGCCAAAAGTGTGTTTTGAGGCGCAAGCCGTTTAGGTAGGCCACCGAACGATTGTCAACCTCAAAGCACGACGGCGTGGCAGCTAGTCGCGTATCGACTGAAAATACCGCAAGCATATGCCTTCGCCCTACAAGGCCTCCAAACAGACACGCGGCCTCCACGCCGTCCCAGAACAGCCGTGCTAGGCAGCCATCGTACGTGCCAACCACATGCTGCCAGGTTTGCGTGCTAAACGATGGGGATGCCAGCCAGTTGACCTCGTGCCTGAAAAGATCAGAGCCACTGAACTCTGTGGCCAAAATAAAGTGCGCCTGACCGGCGGACGACACAAAGAGAGACCAGCCAGCCGACACTTCACTGTCGAACTGCACAAAGGAAACGATGCCCCCTTTATCCACAAAGGAATCGACATTGATCCATGCCGCCACAGTGATCTCTTGCACCGGAAGCCCGAGCGCAGATGCAGAGAACAGGTCCCTGGGATGCCGGGAGCCCCAGGCGGAGCCATCGAAGCTAATGGCTCCTCCGGCCCTGCCATCCACCCACAACGATGTAAAGTCAACGGAAAGGAGCTCCAGGTGATGTCCCGTCGGCTCCGACCCCAGTCGCAAGATGCCGGAGCCGGATCCACGCGCCGTGCTGCTCCCGATCCAATCTAAGCCCGCCGAGGAATTGCTGGACGCGATTTGGGCATCATCGAAACGCCACTCGAGCAGAGGCGTCGGCAAACCAGTGGCTGACGCCACCTGTGCAGCAATCGCTCCCGGCATGCCGTAGTTGCCACTAGGATTGAGGAGGGATTGTACATGGAGGGCAGCTGGAAGCTGTGCTGCAGGCAGTGTCGCAATGGCAGACCTGGTAGATGCCAATCCCTGTTACTGTCAAGTCTGCCCACCAATGCACCGTCTCTCCCAAAGGCAGTTCGTAGACCGTAGGCTCCGTGTCACAGGCCAGGACACCCACAGCTGAGGCCAAGGACGTTCGTGCTCAAAGCATCGGACTGGCAGCTGCCGCCTTCGTCGATGAGCTTCAGCCGCCCTTGAGGCGCCGGACTGCTGCGATCCAACCCCACGGCACCTAAGTTCTGCACGCTCCTTCTGCTGCCAGTCACCACGCTGCCCCTTTCTGCATCTTAACACCGAGCCACTGATTGCAAGAACAAAAGGGGCGTATTGCACGCGTGTCCAAAGATTCCCGGTGCTGATGGCCGGAAGCACATAGAGCCTGGGACACACCAGAAGCTGCCTTGTCCCTGTCACCTGACACGCAAAGAACTTGTGTTGGGGCAACGGCCAGCCGACGAACGCAGTGAAATCCAGCGGAGATGAGCAGCCATCAGAGATGAAGGATGCTGCATAGCCATCGGAGCAGTAGCCTGAGCCGAAAAACATGATCGCATGAGTTCAACTGCTACAGCTTCCATGAAGTAAAAACTGTCAGCCACAGCAACTGAACGTTCAGAAGCAAGGCCAAGCAACACATGCGCCAGGATCCACGGGACGTCAAGTATGCTGCAGCTACATTCAACTCTTGGTCACCTTTGTCAGAACACTTGCCACGCGAAGGTGCTGAGTCAACCTCCAGCATATGGCTGGAAGATACAGGTCTTGATTGATGTTGACATCCTTGTCGGCAACACCATAGACGCCTGTGGTGAAAAGCACCTTCCGGCTTCGCAATCAAAGTCTGGCTAGAAGTCTTGTCGGCGCATGCCCTGTGAGGACCTCCGCATGGCCGGGGGCCTGCCATGGCCGGCCCGGAGTCCGCGGAGACGTTGAGGCCCTGTCCAGAGAACCCCCCGCCCCCTGTGAGGGTGCGTAAGGTGCTGTCCAGCCAAAGGCAGCTCACGTCCTTCCAGGCTTCAACGAAAGAGGGCGCGTGAAACGGGAACATCCAAATGTCAAGCTTCGCTGGTCGCGTCGCGTCGCCGGGCTTGGTCCCAAGACTGTGAGCATCCCTGCCAGCACGGGGAAGTCGTCGAAGGAATTGCATCCTCCATACCCGTCACCTGGGAGTGGCTTGAGCAGAATGCATCGGTACCAGTGCTCCGACAGACGTCCTGTAGTTGCCGGCCAAATTGCTGCAGAAGCAGATCAGCCACTGCCCACCTTGAGGCACCTGGATGATATCTTCAAGGATTGACACAACATGAAAGCAGGAACGCCCTGCCTGGAGGGCGATGAGGTCCACTTGAACCGAACACGACGGACCCCTGTTCCTGGTTTAGGGCCCTGCTGGCAGGCCCCACTCCAGGCGCGGAGCTACCGGATGTCAACTGCTTGAATCACGAAAAAGTGTCCGCTTTGGGACGAGTGCGTGGAGGTGAAGTCTAACTAGCCGCCTGCGGATGCCCGCAAAATCTCATCTCAACCGTCGTCTACGAACCTGCAAAGCTAGCGTCCACAGCAATCAGCACCAGGTCGTACTTATCCTCAGCCCCTCCTGCTCATAATATGTGTGTCTATTTCCCGCAAGCCACTCTACGATGACACCCAACCTGCGGAGGCTCTGCCTTGCAGCACCTTGGACCTGGTCATTCGGAGATGTCGCCGCCGTCAGGGCCTCGCCTTACCCGCCCAAACGCCCGCCACCGGAGCCGTCAAGACCATGTCATCTCCGCGACCAAACGCAGAGAGCGGCTGCGGCGGCTTCGCTTTCCAGCTGCTCCAAGTCTTCGCGAGTGCATTCTCGTGCTAGAGTCCGGCTGGCGCAGCGATCTGCGGGACTTCCGTGGTTTTCGCGACAATCAAAACAGCGGGAGATTGAAAAGGGCGACAAGAAATTTCTCTGCACACCCAAAGGGCACTGAGCCGCATCTGTTTCCACCAGGGGCGTCCAAGCCTCAACATCCTCATGAAGCTGTCACGTGATCGTTTCTGGCCCGCTCGCCGGCCGCAGCAAAGGTCCGCAAACCAGTCCATGTAAATGGGCCTTTCGGACCGCATGTCTGCAGCCCCCGGCGCCGAATCGCGAAACCCAGTGTACAGGGGCAATTAGACAACCCGAGGGTCCCCCGATGTGTTGGGGCACTGCAAACTGCATGCTGTGAGAACTTAGCTTCCCAGATGCACAGCATGCCGAGCACGCCAATCGAAAACGTTCCGGGTGTGCAGGCGGCAGTTGTGGGAGCGAAAGCATGGAAAAGAGAGTGTAACTCCCACGGCGGCCTATGCACAGCGCCCGGAATCCTGGAGACGACTCCGCCTCTTCAGATCTCCATGCTCAGCTCACTCTAAAAAGAGCTTACAGGGTTTAGGGTAAGGCAGGCTTGCTTTGAAACGGTCTGGAGAAGACTTCCAACACCCGTGCTCGGCTGACTCGCATTCGTAGGCTGCAGTTGGCGAGTGCCAGCGTGCAGGCGGATGGTCTGCGGAGTGATGACGCCCTGACGTGCGCCAGCCAAAAACAATTTGCCCCCGCACCACAGCCACAGCTTTGGCAGGAGGGAAGGAGTTAGCAGCTAGCAAGATGCCCGTGGCACCGTGGCACCCGCCGACCAAGCGAGATGAGCTTGCGGCGCGGAGTGCAGCACGCGTAGCCACTGCGGGCCAGAGAGCGAAGAGGCGGAGCCGAAGCTGATGCAGCCGTCACCTTGCTCATGAAGGCGCATGAGCCACCAGGAAGCTGTTTGTGGAGTCACGGCACGCCGTCCCTGCAACACGAAAGCCAATCCAGGACGGCGCCCCTCAACCACTTTGAAGCAGCAAAAGCAAGCTCACTGACGCTCGTCGACAGCAACAGCTGACTCGCATTCGTAGACTGCAGTTGGCGAGCGCCAGTGTGCAGGCGGATGGTTTGCGGAATGGGAACGCGCTGACATGCGCCCGCCAAAAGCTGACGAGCTTGCGGTGCGGGTTGCAGGCAGCATGCGTAGCCACTGCAGGCCTCAGAGCAAAGAGCGCGGGAAGAGGCTGAGTCGGAGCGGGCGCGCACTGCATGAGCGCAAAGAGCGGGGGAAGAGGCGGAGTCGAAGCTTAAAGTAAATTCAAAACAGAACGAGCTGCTGGATGTCTAGCACGATGTCCACACATAGAATGGGGCCTGGCCTCCGAGCGTTCGTCGCGTGCATGCGCCGTTGTTCGAGCCGATTCACTGCTACATATGCTCTGAAGAGCACCACAGTCACTACAGCACACCAGCACATTGGATCGCGGCCACTTCAAGAGAAGTTCCCACGTGTATCGCAGAATCTGACACGAAGAAATTCAAGAACCACCTTCAACAAGCGTGAACCCTCCAAACAACAAGCAGCCAGACGCTGGGCGAGACAAAGTGAAGAAGCTCAGATTTTTCGCGACTGTAGAAGAAAACCTCCGAAAAAGGCGGCCGCTTTCATTTCGGGCCTCGAGGCTTTGTGAAGGTTTGCAGGCGATGAGGCTGCAAGTCGGGATCAGGGCTGCGGGTCGCAGGCGATGATCGGTTCGTCTTCCTGCCGTCAAGTCTCCGCCTCCGCTCCCGCAGAGTGGCAGCGGCAGCGATCCTTGAGGGCAAAGCGGCGACGAGGTTTCGGCAAGGGAGCAAAAGGGCCATGACGGCCAAGATCGGCTGCCGCCGATGCGTCGCGCTGGCTTTTCTAAATGGTACGTCACCTTCGCAGAACTCTCAACGCTTCACCCGGCCCAACTGCAGAGCCTCCGCGGCATTGACTCAGCACACGCCGGGTGAGAGCCCGGGCAGAGCCGCCTGTGGCACACGTCCTCTCCAATTGCATTCCCTGGGCTCTGCACAGCCTTCCAGTTCGCAAGGCATGAGCGGCTGGGAGCCAAACAGAGCCTTGCTGGCTGCGACAAGACCTTGATGAACACAGTCAGTACCAGCCTGCCAGACATAATCAAATTCTGCTCATGCCTGCAGCGTGCCGCTGCGACTGCCACGTGCGGGCCACATGCAGCACTGAGGCTTGAAGTTGCCCCGGCAGACTCGCCCTTGTGCTCAGCCCCCCTCGCCTCGGCAAGAAAGCCCGCCACCAGACGCGGCGAGCCAGCGAAATCCGCATCGTTCCTCAAAGTCACTTCTTCAGTGGCATGTACACATCACCCCAAGCTGTCAGACAGGCTGCAGCCCCTGGCCGAGGGCTGAGTCTTTCGCAATAAGAGCTGCGGAACGCCTGAGTGCGTCTTCATGGTGGATTGCCGCAATGGGTGCAGCACATCCCGAATCGCGCATGAGAAGAGCAGGACACGTAAGGCGCTGTGCGGGTTAGGAAAGGAACTGATGTAAGTGAATGATTAGCCTCACGAAGGCAGATTGAAAAAGGCAAAAGGAGACAAGACTGCTCTGTCGCACTGTGGGTTCGTGGGTTTCATCTACTGCACCTTCTTGAGGCACTACTTGAGCTCAGCCGCAGGAACAACGTCACCAGGCGGCAGACTCCGATCCCACAGCCTCTGTGGAGCATAGGGCAACGCACGAATTCCAGGCTCCAGGTGCATACGTATGCAAGCATGCATGCCTGGGGCCATGCAAACTACCTATAAATATTCTTGCTGGCTTGTTGTCGCGATACCTGTGTTCGTAGTCATAGATAGTTATATGCATGTCTCAAAACACAAAACAAAACATGACACTGCATTGGTAGTGGGCAGAGTTGGCAGAGTTGCTGCTCTGCGTGGCGGCCTACCCAGACATATCGCAAAACAAAACATAACACAGCATTGGTGCAGTAGTAGGCAGAATTTGCTGTTCTGCGTGTCTGTGAACGTGCACGTTACGGATTAAGGTTTCCAATCATCAGGACAGCCCAAGGAAAGCAGCTCGCACGTCCTTCCTGTATACGGACTGTGCGACTGCTTAGGTTCAATCTCATGGCATATTCAAGTCCACAACCCCACCAGGAAGTGCAAGTTTTGCACAGGCGGCGGACCGCAATACGGAAGCCGTGAAGATGCAGTCCTCTTGAGGCGGTCTAGGTCCGGCAAGGACCAAGAACAGACAGACTGCGGATTTCGCGCTGCTCCGCTGCACAGCATGTGCCGCGCATTTCCGCACCAGTGGTGAGGATGACAGGGGCATTACTGGCACCACCAATTTGGGTGTCGCTTCTTCTGCTGCTGTTCTGGCGAAGGCCGAGCGCTGAAACGCACTGCCTCCCACGTTGGTGAGATTGGTGGCAGCGCCCTTCCTACGGGTTTGATGGTGAAGTGTCGGAAGAGGCCGTTCTGCCAAAACAGCAAGAGCTGCCTCAGGTCGAGCGCAATATCCAGATACAACAGGGCCTTTAGCAATTCTACACCGAAACTTCTCACTGCAAATTGTTCGGAGCACGTGTGGGTGTGGTATCAACATCTGACGCATCTAATCTCCAATCTCTCCAGAACACATACACCAGATCTCACTTGCCTCTCTACAAAGCGGGCAAGACGAAGGCTAAGGAGGGCACCAATGTCAGCGAGACAAGATCAACCATTCAGAACATTCTGGGCTGCTCGGTCAGGCTTCTCACGGCGCCGAAGGTGCATGCCCAGCTTTGTGCATATCCCCACTTTCCTGCATGATCGGTAGCCCCACGACCTGCCAGGAGCGGTAGAAAGCTGCAGCTGCTGCATGCGCTCAGAGGACTGGTACGGGCCTCCGGGAGCGTGGAGACGTCCACGTTCTCCTCTTTCTCCAGGCCTTGCAAAGCAAGAGACATCCAGTGCAGCCGGCCAGGAATCTCCACCGATGTCGACGGAAGATATCGGCCGCATTGGCATGCAGAAGAACGTGTGAGCATCACGACAGGCCGCGGCTTTAGAGAGCTCCGGACAATACCTGAATCCCAGCACAGACATCATGGCTGTGGACAGTAGTGTCCAATGTCGTGCCCTCCTCGAGGCCACCGGCGCGTTCCAGTCCGTCTGCTAGCCGCTAGGCTTGAGGAGCGCCAACGAGGAACATGGAGGGTCAGGGTGCCTGCATCGATCCAGCTCGAAGCGGTGCTGCAGGCGTCTCTAGTAGATGTCAATGTTTGTTAGTGTCACTTCCGTCTCTCGCAATGGCAGTTCGTAGACGGTGGGCGCTGGTTCACAGGCGAGGACACCGCGACAGCTGAGACCACTCAGTGCGTCGGCCTGGCAGCTGCTGCCTTCCGTGACGAGCTTCAGCCGCCGCTTCTCAGTCTCAAGCGCATCCCAAGATGCCACAAATCCATCTGCACACACCCAAAATGAATCACCAGATTTTCCAGACAAGAACAATCCAGGAACACGGCTTGGCGAGCTTCGCCAATGTTGAGCTCCCCCTGCAGCGGTTGCTCCGCCGGTTCTGGGAAGTAGAAATTAGGGACAGAAGCAAACGCTTCACTTCATGCTTGATCTCAGAATAAACTCTGCACGAGGCATCAGAATGCACAAAAGCGGGCGGAGTTGCAGCCGACAACTGCGACATCGGCATTCCCAAGACTAGCACACGCCGGCGCGTATGGCGGACGATGAACGTCGGCTCGTATAGACTAGCACACACGGCAGCACTCCGAGTTTCAGCGTGAGACGTGCAGACTTGTCCCGCTTCTTGAAAGACTCCGTACACTTGAAGTCTCCCCCCCCCAAACCCCGACGGCAGGGCAGAGCGCAGCGGAGAGCTGGACGAAGAGCAGAGCAGACGAGCTCGAAGACGGAGTCCACCAGGAGAGCGTCTCTGCCAAGAACATGTACGGGACCATCTTTCTCGAGTAGAATATGCGCTGTTTTTTCCGTAAGGTTTGCTAGGCGCGCAGCAGCCAGGCAAGCAGGAAAGGGAAGCACCCATCGGGCTGCATCAACGCGTGATGCGCCATCGGAAGCAAGACACCTGCGATCGACCAAGAAGTTGACTGTCTCGGCAGGTTGGCTTGACATCTAGGATTCCAGCAGCATGACCGCATCCTTGCTGGACACGGCGATTGCGCTGCTCTCCGAGCTTCTGCCGCTTTTGGCCTCCGGGCTCGGCGCCGCCACTCAGGTTCCTTGCAAGTCACCTCGCTCTCCTGCTCAGCTGCTGGTCCTCACGGCCCCGGCTCGGAGAAACGCCAGGGAGCCGCAGAAGGGTCTTGCCATCGCTGGCAATATGTGTGAACCTTTCGTCAGGTTCTTGCCCATCAGGACCAGGAAGAAGTCCGTGTCACAGTTGTGTGTCTTCAAGATGGCATCGGACATGGACGTGAAGCAGTGCTGCTTCTCTACCAGGCCGTATCCCAGCTCCTCGGCACCGGCAAGGTCCGAATCGTAGCGGCCTGAGCCTCCGCTTTGGCCGAGGTTTCTGGAGCTGCTGCCGCAGCTGCTCACAACGCTCCTGGAGGCGTGCTCACACCTCCTGCAGCTTGGCTCCTGCAGCTTGGCCTCGCTTGCCAACTCTGCCCCAGGAGTGCCGGCAGCAAGCTCAAGGCAATGCTCCCGGCATTTGCACTGATCCTGCAACTGACCGAGCTCCCCCGCCACGCCTGCAGCTTGTGCACTTCCCACACTCACTTGGAGCTCCGTGTACCAATTGGCTCTCGGCACTCCTTGCTGGACCCCTGCGCCTCTGCAACAGTCAGGCAATTGCGCAGCTCTGAGCCCTCCGCCTGGAGGCGCATAATTCCTCGAGCTTTTGAGCTTTTACCATCTCCTGGCTCCGCCTCTTGAGCTCGGTTTGCACAAAGGGACACACGAAACGACTCCGCCCGAGGCTCCCGTGCGAGGAAAGCTCTGCCCCAAAACCGCGCAAACGCTCCTGCGGACGCTCCCGCAAACGCTCCCGAGGCTCTGGGCCGGCTGTGTCGGGAGCGCTGCCTGCGATGTTTGGAGATATTGGCTTCAAAGGCTCTACACAGCGGACCCCGCCTCGGAGCCGCAGTACTCGAGCGGTCGCCGCAGAGCCGGCCATCGCCGCACAGCATCATGTCAATCCAATACATGTCTCCCTCGCTCATGAGCGAAAAGGTCTGCCGACCCCTTGCGGCCCTTGCGGTGCCTGACACTCTGCACGAAAGGCATCTGGCATTGATCTTGCCTTGCCCGAGCGGTTTCGTGGGCAGCTCCGAAGATAGGAGGAGAAATGACAACATCACCTGGTCTCAAGAGCTACTGCTTTGCGACCGAAGCGATCGCAGCTGCAGCAGGCGCTCTAAGTCATGCAGGCTAGCTTCCTGTGGGCTTCTGTTTCTTGGCGGCTCGGGAAGCCGCAAGATGCCTGGACAGAGAGACTGTGCTTTGGGGTGCACGGTTGCGGGATTGGCGTCCGGGCTGTGTGCAAGAATCCATACTCAGAACGTGTGGCTTTCTGCTCTCTTCTGCCGGCCTCGCTTATATACATGGCCACAAGAAGCTTTGTCACGCAGACAACAACACAACATGTCGGAAACTTCTCAAACAATTCGTTTCTTCTGGACTTCTGGATGCTTGCTTTGGGCTTAAAGTGCCTTGCTGGGCTTTGTCAATTGAATTATAAGGGTCACAAGATGCGCGCTGTACAAGCATCTCGTCAGAGCAAGAGGAAAAGCGTAGCCTTTTCATCCTTCCTTGCACGGGGTTCAAGTGAGGGAATGGCCAGTGGCAACAGCTGCGACTAGGACCTGATAGGACATTCCACAGCCTCCCAAGCTCATCCGACTCTTTCCCATTGGGTGTGGGCAGAGATCGTCGAGTTCCACCCCCGAGTTGCTTGGAGCCGTTTCGGAAGCAGCTGGATTGGAGACAGAGGGCGCACCGGAGTCTGAGGGTGCAGCCGCAGCGTCTGGAAGGCAGACCTGCGAGCAAGTGGAAGCCCAAGCTCCCAGCCAGGGACACAGAGCCAGCTGAAGAAGAGGCCGCGCAGTCAGATTGGGGGTGCAGCTCAGGACCTGTATCGTCCCAGGCGTTCCGACCCATTGCAGAAGCGCCTCACGGACCGATTATAACAGACACGATGGATGCCGCCGCGCCTTAAGTGTTTGCATCAGTTCGTCGACACAGCTTCACTAACGTCATCGCCAAGGCCACGAACCCCAGCCCAAAAACAGGCACGGGAGGAGCGCCCCGCGCCAGCACAGCCCAGCACAGCCCAGCTGCCTGCCGCGCACGAGCCAGACACCTCCACGCAAAAGCCTCAAGCAGGCTGCACCAAAGGGATCCGTCCACCCGCCAGCCCCCCGCAGGCGTAAGGGGACTGCGGAGCTTCACGATTTAGGGCTTTAGGGTTTTAGAGTTTAGGGTTGAGAGGTTCAGAGTTTAGGGCCCAACGCCTCCTCAGATCGACCCCGCAACGCGACGTGCGCACCGCAGCGAACTCACTAGGCGAAGCGTCACGTCGAGAAATGGTGAAAGGCATGGCCCACGCGAGCGAAGCAAGCATGTGAGCATGGCTTGCTTGAAAGTTTGCTTGAAAGTCGCTAAATCAGCAGTTCGGCCAGGAGAAGCTGAGTCTCCGCGGAGAAAGGCGTCGTCCGCGGTTCACCTCCGCACAAAAGCTTCCTTAGTGGCCGCTTGATGTCATGTCATGTCTGCAGGCATGCTCTCAGGCACGTTTCCGTGAGGAAACCCACCTGGTACAAGTCACCAAGTCTGGCGAGGGCCAACACGTTCTCCTCCGAAATCATTCGTTCTCCACCTTCGCCAGCACCAGGACTCCGATCGATTTGCCGGGCCTTCTTGATCTCGCGGACCAGCTCACCGCTCTCCACGGACCAGACACGGGAGTCCGCCATCTCCATCGGCAGCTGTTGCAGGAGGCACAGCGACAAAGACATCATAGCCCGCAAGACCTTCCACAGGGTCCCGTCGGACCGGTGGAGCACACGAAGAGCGAACAGTTCGCCATCGAACTGCAAAAAGGAAACACTGCTGCCCATTATCCAAAAAGGAGTCGACATGTCGCCGAGTGGGGGCGTGCCTGAACGAAGTTCACTCATAGTGCTTGCGAGATCCCGGAACACCCCTTGTGCCAGTCCTTACGTTCATTACATATGGCGCCGGTGCGCCGGGTTCTTGTTTCGCGAGCCAAGGTCTTTGCTGGTCATGCCGCTGTGGACTGCAGCTTGCTTCTACGGGCCTCGGGTGGTTTGCGAGGACTATATATGGGGCCATGTAGGGCCTCATGTAGCCCCAGGACGGAGGCTCTGATGCCAAAGGTTGTGTTGGTTTTCCACCGATCGTTTACGTCTGTTTAGTGGGGTTGTGCAGCGAAGCTGCCATCAGCGGCCCTGGCGCGAGAGCGCAGAGCTTCATGGAGACAACAGGGCCCCGAACGCATTCCCGGGCAGCATCGCCAGAAGCTGGAAGGTGCAGGGGACTGGTTGCGAGTGCTGTTAGGGCCGAGGGCTCAACTCAAAACCGCATGTTGATCACAACTGTGAGATGGCATGCGATGTAGATGCCGGGCCTCCCACCGTGACAAAGGACACACCTGGAGAATCGTTAGCGACAGCCGACCGCTCTCGGCCGCATTCGCCCTTGTTGCATGCCTGGAATGCGACCGTAACAGCCTCTCTAACAAGAACATGACGAGAAGTTCCAAAGCCAGACATCAGACAGCCTGCATGGGACAGCACTCCAGCCTAGCACACCTCGGTGGCAGTCTTCTGCCGAGCTGCGGTAAGTCGCTGGCTTTGGCGAGCACGATGCACGCTCACCCAGCTGCTTTGATGTACAACTGCACCTCAGAGCATACAGTCAGTTGTGGACCCACCTCCCCGTTTGAAAAACAAAGTCATGGACCTGGTGGTCTCCACGCAGTCGGGAGGCTCCCTCCCCCGAAACCCAGCCACCAAAAAGTCTGAGGCGTTGGCTGTGCCACGGCAAAGCCTCAAGCGAAGCGCAGGGCGGCGAGGCGTTGAGGCCCTGAAGTCAGAGGCAGCTGGCACTACTCGGCACGCTCCGACCTGAGAAAAGCCAAAAAAAGCCGCCACGGTAGTAGCCCCCGGATTCACCCCCCATCCTTGACATGCAAGAGTCCAAGAGCTTCGTGGATCAGGCAGCATCGTCAAGCAGAGCCTTGAACTGCAGCGTGCATTGTTTAGTCCCACACCTATGCCTATGCAGCCTATGCATGATGCAATTAGTTGAAGGCGGCTACAGCCGATCGGCGGATGCAGCTAAGAGAAAGAAGAGGCAATATATGATAGCTCGGGGTGGGCAGCGTGCTGCTGCACGAGCAACTGCTATGACCGTGGCCAGGTCAATTTGCTTCCAAGGCGCGGTGTCGAACGAGGGCACGTCCTCTGTCGGCAGCAAACGAGTCCGCAGCGCTCGAGGAGGCTCAACTACTGGCTCTGGCGAACCGGCGAACCCCAGTTCTCAGCCCCCGAATGGGGGTTTTGCCACACCCAGCTGCTGACGCCGACACAGCCACCAAGGTGAAGCTTCAGGAAGCTGTTGCTGTGGGTGCGGTGGGACAGACTGGAGTTTGCATGTGTGCAGCCTCCAATACCGAATCGCCCAACAAACTTTCGTGCAGCTTACCCGCTGCGAAACCCAGCTTACAGGGGCAAAGGGGCAACGCGAGGGTCCCCCGAACTGTTGGGGAGTTTAGGGCCTAGCCGGGGGCAAAATCCGGCAGCACTGCGCTGCAAGGTCTTACGCTCTTGGAAAAGGGCTTCTGGTCGATATTAAGCTGCATGCTGCGAGAACTTAGCTTCCCAGATGCACAGCATGCCGAGCGCTCCAATCCAGAAAGGGCAGCAGCACTTGCAGGGCACAGGCGGCTTGGCTGGCCAGAAGTCACTGGCTACAGGGCGACGGCGCCGTGGCCTCGGAGCTTTGCCCAGTGCAGCCGGCGGTTGTGGGAGCGAAAGCATGGAAAAGAGAGCCTGCCACGATGGCAGAGCGCGACCGGTTGCCCTGACTTTGCCAGGTGAGCAAGCAGCCGTCACCTTGCTGATGAAGGTTGTGCACATGAGCCATCAGGAAGCAGAAAGCGCCGTGGTCGGATGATCTGCAAGGATCTGCCGCACCCAGCAGCATGCACAGATTCCCTGCACGTGCTCGCCGAGTCCCCAGCTCACGTTCCAATCGCGACCCAGGCAAACAGCAAAATGAAGCATTCCGTCGAATTGCTGGTGAGGGCCGATTGCAGTGATTGCAGACACCGGAGTCGGAGCGTCGTGGCAGCTGAAGCATCACAGGAGCAACTCTCGCCACCAGCAAGTGGGCTCTGACAAAAGCCTGGGATGGCACGGCACGGGCACAACTGAGGGACATCTTTGTGGAATCACGGCGCGCCGTCCCTGCAACACGAAAGCAAATCCAGGACTGCGCCCTCAACCACTTTGAAGCAGCAAAGGCAAGTTCACTGACCGACGCACGCCCTGACTTGCGCCAGCCAAAAGCAAGTTGCCCACCGACCAAGCGAGACGAGCTTGCGGCGCGGGGTGCAGGCAGCACGCGTAGCCACCGCAAGCTGAGAGCAAAAAGCGGGCAGGAGGCGGAGTCGAAGATTATATGAGGCAGCGCAAAGAGCGCGACCACTTCAAGAGAAGCCCCCACGTTTATCGCAGAATCTGACACGAAGAAAAGTCAGGATAAGCAAATCGGCACAGCTGGTGTAGGCGAGTCCACTGCCGTTCCTGGAACCGGGATTTCGCGCCGACGCAGCGCACGAAGCCACCCCATTAGCTCCCAATCCTCGAGAAGGGTGCATCCCAGCGGGTGGCCGCATGTGGCCGCCCCGTCCTCCTCCAGATCTTCCAGCGTTTCGGGCACCCACCGGTTGCGCCCGGGCTTAGCGCGGAGCTGTGAAGCTCGTGCGACTGTCGGTAGCCTCGGCAGGCCGTGTTGCAAAGCCTGCAGGGTGCACAGGGCGCATCCCTTCCTCGCACAGTAGTGTTTTTGAAGCCAGCCGACCGTCCTCCGGGCTGCCTACGCGGCAGCTCCACCAGCCGAGCTCGATGCGCAACAAGTCCAGAAAGCTGT